ATTCTAATGATTAAGGCCGCTATATTACCCTTAGAGACGCCCTTAAAAGGAGCCCTCCTCGAACTGGTAAGGCCCCTAAACCCCTAAACCCCTAAACCCTAAACCCTAAACCCCAAACCCCCCATTATCCAGAAGCAGAGCTCCAGACTGAGCCCGGTGCTCAGGGGGAACAGGACTCGCTAAGTAGACTCGTAAGAACGCCACGACACACGGTTTAGTTTAGGGTTTAGGGTTTAGGGTTTAGGGTTTAGGGTTTAGGGTTTAGGGTTTAGGGTTTAGGGTTTAGGGTTTAGGGATGAGGGCTTAGGGCACGTTCAGGGAGTCATATACAGGAGTTGCTGCCTGCCGGAAATAGCACGCTTAAGCACAAACATGAGTTGGTTGTTCCTTCAAGAAGCTCCTTGTCCAGTATCCTATGGGATTAAAGGTTAACTTCTGGGATTATATCGAGACTCTAACAGCCCCAAAACTTTAAAGTTTACCTGAACCCTAAACCCTGAACCCTGAACCAGTCTAATGCTAGGAAAAGCATACAAGGAGCAGCTGCAGGGCTGTCTGCCAGTGGGAAGCTTTTTCGCCTCGTCACAGATGGGGGTTTATAGGGTTTTTAAAGTTTATAGGGTTTACAGGGTTTATAGGGCTTATGGGGTTTATAGGACTTATAGGGTTTAGGGTTTAGGCACAGATTCTGCTACGTAGACGGGACTTAGGAAGTAGTTGGGGATATCAAGGCCCTAATGTAGGGGCCTTAATACTTAGAAGAGGGGTTTGGGGGCTCGTAAATATAATTATACCAGAAAAAAACCAGAAACCCTATTCTAATTATTAAGGCCCCTATATTAGTTGGGGTCATGCAAACGATGGCTGCGGCAGTTAGGACCCACAACACTGAACCTGAGATCCCAGACCCAAAGCCCCACGCCCTAAACCCTAAACCCAATATCCCAGACCCAAAGCCACACACCTAAGATCGCGAAACCCTTAGCCCTCACACCTTTGCCCCCCGAACCCTACTTGGATCCTCATCATAGCCCTCAACCCTACACCCTAAACTCTGAACCCTAATCCTTAAACCCTATAATATACCCTATACCCTTTACAAACCCCCTTGCCAAAGCTGACAAACCTCATCGGGAGGCTTTAGACTACTTCGATTCTGGGCTTCACACAGAAGCTTTGATGATTGGAATGAGGGTGCTTTAAGCGTCATCTGCGAGGGTTCTGTTGGGGTTTTGGAGTTTCAGGGCTCTACTCGCTAGACTATCTTGTGATATCGTCCTGACAAGGACCCTGAACCCTAAACCCTAAACCCCAAAACACGGGACTAGCATTTGTAACTATTCAGGCTGCGCCCCCCAAACCCCTAAACCCAAAACCCTTCAAGCCTGAACTTTAAACACCTAATCAAGAACTTAAACCCTAAAGGGTTTAGGGCTGAGGGCTTCGCGTCTGAACCCTAATCTCAAACTTGAGATAAGCATAACCCTACAGGGCGCCACTGACCTAAATAGCAGGTTGATGTCGGTGGCTCAGAATACTTTTTGTACCCCAGTTACCCCCTAAACCCTAAGCTTTAAACCCTGAACCAGAACCCTGCACCCTAAGCCCTAAACCAGGAACCCTAAGCCCTAACACCTTAAACCAAAAACCCTAAACCCTGAACCCTAAGCCTATGATTTAGGTGACTGGGGCCCTAGTAGGGGTACACGAGCAAGACCGAGTTGCAGCTGCTCAAGGCGCTGTTGTGGCTCACCTCCCCCCTAAACCCTAAACCCTAAACCCTAAACCCTAAACCAAAAGCCAGCATGCCGGTTTAGGGTTTGGAGCTTCCGGGCTCTTTGGGGCTTTGGGTTTTAGGCTTTAGGGGCTTAGGGTTTTGGGTTTTGGGTTTCAGGGTTTAGGGTTTGGGGATTTAGGGGTTTAGGGTTTAGGGCTCTAGGGATTTAGGGTTAGGGCTTCAGGGCTTTAGGGGTTTGGGGTTTAGGGCGGGCTTCAGGGTTTAGGGCTTAGGACTTTAGGGGTT